CGAAAAAATAACATAACTAATTTTTAAGAAAAAGATTAAGCAAGAACACGCATTGAAAATGAACAATTTGTTAGTTTTTAAGAGTATGTCATGCTATCACTATCTCATTCTCATCTTTAAGAACGTTGATGATGTTTCAAAATGTGAAAAAAATCACATTGTTTATTAAGTTTTTATTCTGCTTAATAAACTTTCAAAATTCATTCATGGCAAAAACCATGAAAACTCATGCCCGAAAAAAGTCCAGACTAGCTTCTAACAAAAAACAGCAGTTGTAATCGACCAAAAATTTTTTAAGCTTCATGAAAACCCTGCATAATAAATTTCATGGATAATAACAAAATATATTATGTTTTTGTTGTCATTCCTCGCAATAACCACAAATAATTTATTATAATTGATTGAAAAAAGAATATTTCCAATTTTTTCGATATATCAATTTGATGCATTTTATTCAATTATAATCGGTTATAATAGATTATTTCAAAAATTTTTGTTAAGTTTGCCTGCAATTTTCAATGCAGTGTTTTTTTTAGAAAAAAATGCAGTTGCTTTTGATTTAACGCTCGTTGTTATGAGGAAAGTGCAGAAAAATTAGGTTTAATTCGGCCTAAAAATGTTTATATTGTTTGAAACCTTTGTCCCTTCACAATTCCTTATGTTTTAATTTTTCGGCTCTTTTCCACTTCTTTTCACCCCACATTTCAAACTTTCATTTTTTCTTAGCTGTTTCACGTGTGATTATGGCTAAACTCGTGATGATACGATCTAAAGTATGAAAATCTAAACTATGATTAAAGTTAGGGATGAAGTCCCCTCGGCTTGACTCTTTGTCTCAGAAGACCCTTTTTTCTGTGTAAGCTTTATTCGTATCATTGTTTGAATTTTCTGGTAATTTTGAGTTTTCTAACAGTTTCAAAAAAACTACCAGTCGATCTGGCAGTCTGCAAAAAACGCAAAACTGGTATCGATATAGATTGTTCCGATCATCGAAAGAGTGAAGGAATCTTTGACCACGCAAGCACAGATAAAGCAGAGTTGTGAGAGAAATCGATAGATATATTGTAGGTTAAAAACCTTTTGTATAATGTTTTTGGGTGTAATATCATTTATTGTAATATAATAATTGATACTTTTTTCTCGTGGTCGTCCGTTCAAAAAAGGACTTACGCCTAAGAATACATTTAAAAAAATTAATTTTCCTCTAGTGTATTTGCTAATTAGGTTTGAAAAACTTGTTTCTTATTGAAATCAAATTGATGACTCCACATCTTTGATTGTCCATCATTTGCCCAAAAAAGATTATGTTGCTGAAAGTTTTGCAACCCTTCACGAGCTTCAATATATTGTTTATCTTGAAAAGTCCACGAAGAGAGGAGTTTTGAAAAATTAAGCTGTTCGCAGGTGTTTTGATGTATTTTCAAAATTTTAGATTGATTGATTGGTTGATTGATTAATTATGCTCTAGTGGGTAACTCCAGGTTGTCTGATTGATTGCTGATGACGGCTGCCAAGTCCAAAACGTAATAAGACCCCCCGAAAGTTTTATCGCTAAACAGCACTGTCAATTTGATAGTTGTTACCTCGCCATTTAGACTCATAACTCGTCAAATACCTTTGTAAGATTATAATCAAACAAACTCACTTCAGATTTTCTGATTTAACTCCAGCTGATTTGAAGCTACTTTTCATCCAAAACGATCCTCTTTTCATTTCAAATCCTTTTGGCAGAAAAAGGTAAGTTAAAATTCCATTTCTACAATTATATTTCTTTTATTTTAATTTTTTAAAACACAGGCTTGACAATAGTTGAGGCAGAGGCAGATTTAAGGGGACAAAGAGGCGGTTTTTCTAAAAATATATTTACTAATTTTGTGGGAGGGAGGAAAAACGCAACTTTGTGGTCCAAAACGCCTCTTTTGAACCGTTTTTCAAACATTCGCCTGCGGCGCCAAAGCATGGTCAAAATAGAGTTTTTATAAACATTTGCTATCCTGTATGTCAATGAAAGTTTAATCAAGTTTTTTAATCCAACTTTTCCTGCAACCAAACTTTATTTTAAAACAAGGACAGCCGGTAACTTTGCAAGTAGCACAGAATGTTCTGACCACAGTCTTAAAAAATGTAAGGAGTTTTTTTTTCAAATTGGTGTCTTTTTTTCTGTTTGTTGTGATTAAAAGATCTGAAGAAAAAAAGAGAAGCTAGGCATAATTTAGAGTCATAGTGGAACAGTTTTTAAAACAGTTTTTAAAGAAAAATGACTAGAAAAAGGAAAAAAATTGAAAAAAAAAATTCAATTTTTTTTTCGATTTTTTTTGCAAAATATTTTTAAAATTTCAAGTTTTTGGTTCTCAAAATTGCGCTAAAAAACACCAAACACTACGCTGCCTTTACTTGAATTAAACAAAGTTTTCACCGCTTAATTAAGCTTAAAGATGCTGCATGGTAACCTTATTAGCTCGAAATTAGACCAAACCCCAATTTCAAAAAACTCAAACCGGTCTTACTCGACACTGCGAAATGTTTTCACATTTAATTTCGTTTGGATCACGACTGAAAGAGCTTTTATATGATATGTCACTCAAATCAGTCCGATGATTATGTGTGGTACCTGATTTTGCGTGCAAATTTAAAAAAATTAAAGCACATCTGGATACAAAATTCCTCCCCATTTTCAATGGTCGGAACAAAAATGTCTTTTTCTGAACATTTTCAATGGTCGGAGCAAAAATGTTTTTTTTTCTGAGATATATCGGCGCTATTAAAAAACTAAATTTTACAAAAATTTTAACCCGCGTTTCAGTATGTTGTTTTAATTATTGGCACTACAAAAACAAACAAGGGTCAATATCTCACGTCAGCAGACATTTTTTTGCGAACCACGTGTAGGCAAAAAAAACCTGTGAAAAGTAAGAATTAACTAAGAAGTAAAACGAAAAAATAAAAATTGATCATTGCTGGAAAAACATGTATATGAGGTTGCAAAATTTAAGCAGAAAGTTAAGCAGAAATTTAAGGTCTGATTTTGAAGTGAAGTACATAATAACTTCCTTTAAAAATTATGAAGTAATCGACTCTTTAGGAAAAGAGCCACGATTAAAGATAAAGCAAAAAGTGGGAGTGAATAACAAGAAAGAAATATATGTATGTAAGGGTAAACCAATTTTGTATATTTCTACCGTTTTATATTGGGCCAATATGATTTTTAAATCAGAGGAAATGTTTTTTTTTCTTGCTTTTTTTCCAAATTTTGGAATGCTGAATTCTGATAGGCTGATTTTTTTTCGCGAAATTCAGTCCATCGCCTATTCATACCACCATAAATTTATTGAAACTATAACTTTGATAACTCCAAACAAAATACCCAACCTTGCTCTCTGGGTAGCGGACATCAATTCGACAAGGCTTGAAGCCGAATGGCAAAAATAGAGCTCTAAGGCCGAAAAAATAACATAACTAATTTTTAAGAAAAAGATTAAGCAAGAACACGCATTGAAAATGAACAATTTGTTAGTTTTTAAGAGTATGTCATGCTATCACTATCTCATTCTCATCTTTAAGAACGTTGATGATGTTTCAAAATGTGAAAAAAATCACATTGTTTATTAAGTTTTTATTCTGCTTAATAAACTTTCAAAATTCATTCATGGCAAAAACCATGAAAACTCATGCCCGAAAAAAGTCCAGACTAGCTTCTAACAAAAAACAGCAGTTGTAATCGACCAAAAATTTTTTAAGCTTCATGAAAACCCTGCATAATAAATTTCATGGATAATAACAAAATATATTATGTTTTTGTTGTCATTCCTCGCAATAACCACAAATAATTTATTATAATTGATTGAAAAAAGAATATTTCCAATTTTTTCGATATATCAATTTGATGCATTTTATTCAATTATAATCGGTTATAATAGATTATTTCAAAAATTTTTGTTAAGTTTGCCTGCAATTTTCAATGCAGTGTTTTTTTTAGAAAAAAATGCAGTTGCTTTTGATTTAACGCTCGTTGTTATGAGGAAAGTGCAGAAAAATTAGGTTTAATTCGGCCTAAAAATGTTTATATTGTTTGAAACCTTTGTCCCTTCACAATTCCTTATGTTTTAATTTTTCGGCTCTTTTCCACTTCTTTTCACCCCACATTTCAAACTTTCATTTTTTCTTAGCTGTTTCACGTGTGATTATGGCTAAACTCGTGATGATACGATCTAAAGTATGAAAATCTAAACTATGATTAAAGTTAGGGATGAAGTCCCCTCGGCTTGACTCTTTGTCTCAGAAGACCCTTTTTTCTGTGTAAGCTTTATTCGTATCATTGTTTGAATTTTCTGGTAATTTTGAGTTTTCTAACAGTTTCAAAAAAACTACCAGTCGATCTGGCAGTCTGCAAAAAACGCAAAACTGGTATCGATATAGATTGTTCTGATCATCGAAAGAGTGAAGGAATCTTTGACCACGCAAGCACAGATAAAGCAGAGTTGTGAGAGAAATCGATAGATATATTGTAGGTTAAAAACCTTTTGTATAATGTTTTTGGGTGTAATATCATTTATTGTAATATAATAATTGATACTTTTTTCTCGTGGTCGTCCGTTCAAAAAAGGACTTACGCCTAAGAATACATTTAAAAAAATTAATTTTCCTCTAGTGTATTTGCTAATTAGGTTTGAAAAACTTGTTTCTTATTGAAATCAAATTGATGACTCCACATCTTTGATTGTCCATCATTTGCCCAAAAAAGATTATGTTGCTGAAAGTTTTGCAACCCTTCACGAGCTTCAATATATTGTTTATCTTGAAAAGTCCACGAAGAGAGGAGTTTTGAAAAATTAAGCTGTTCGCAGGTGTTTTGATGTATTTTCAAAATTTTAGATTGATTGATTGGTTGATTGATTAATTATGCTCTAGTGGGTAACTCCAGGTTGTCTGATTGATTGCTGATGACGGCTGCCAAGTCCAAAACGTAATAAGACCCCCCGAAAGTTTTATCGCTAAACAGCACTGTGAATTTGATAGTTGTTACCTCGCCATTTAGACTCATAACTCGTCAAATACCTTTGTAAGATTATAATCAAACAAACTCACTTCAGATTTTCTGATTTAACTCCAGCTGATTTGAAGCTACGTTTCATCCAAAACGATCCTCTTTTCATTTCAAATCCTTTTGGCAGAAAAAGGTAAGTTAAAATTCCATTTCTACAATTATATTTCTTTTATTTTAATTTTTTAAAACACAGGCTTGACAGTAGTTGAGGCAGAGGCAGATTTAAGGGGACAAAGTGGCGGTTTTTCTAAAAATATACTTACTAATTTTGTGGGAGGGAGGAAAAATGCAACTTTGTGGTCCAAAACGCCTCTTTTGAACCGTTTTTCAAACATTCGCCTGCGGCGCCAAAGTGGAACCTGATCTAAACTATATTTTATGATTGGATAAATTAAATGTTTTACCAATGTAAAGTATTTAATATTAACCAATCACGATCCATCTAACTAACAACCCACTTATTTGTAAGTGCTGAAGTTACTTGTAATTTCAGCACCAGAGAGATTTGAATTTAACTTAGAAATTAGTTGGACTCTCCCGAGCACTTCAGCAGCCGCAATAAACCAGTATACCCTAGATCTATTGAGCCTAGCAGAGACTAGTTAAACAACCTGAGACTAGATAGTATAAGAGTAAGATTAGGATCGGTATTAGACTAAGAAGTTGCACGAATCTATCCGGCCGAAAATAAGATAGCGTGACGAGCAGACGGTGTACCCTATCCGAAATTACTCTATGAGTTATACACACCAGTCCTAACTCATCTGGTGCGACCAGTGAGGCACATCCACTATATCTTCACTAAACACTAATAGAGCTTACCGCACTTTTAAAAGAAAATTCCCCAACCATCCTTTCCCAGCAAAACCAGGAACAGCCCGTGAATACATCAACCACCCCCAGCATACTAACACTAAAGAATTTTTAGCTATCACTTTACCCTCATTTCCACAATACACCTTAAACACCCCTCACGACGCTAACGAAACACGCAACTTTGTAGATGAATACGTTTTAATGCCCACTCTCTCTTGGACCTCATACTATCATTTCACTAACCCTCTTTGCTTACCTTTATCCAGCACTTCCATCGATATAGAACGAAACAAAGACATGCTATATCGACTAACTACACCACTAACCGCTAGACAGTTTACTTACGTTGGATATAAAAAATCACTAAAAATACACACTGCACCTAGAGCAAATGAATATACACTAGAATACTACGATCACAACATCATCAGAGCTAACCAAGATCAATTCTTAGACGACGATCGCTTCGCTAATCCACAAATCACCGAGAAATTTTTCATCAAGACACCATATGTATTTACACTAAACATCTTCGACCGAAAGTTTGATCACATTATTTCAGAAGCACTAACAAACACACAAGCATACGAAAGTTTTAAAGAACGCTTCCAAATCTTTTCACTAACCTTTCATTTCCTTGCACCACACGAAAGAGATTTGCACTGCTCACATGATATTATGTTGCGCACTAAACAAACACATACATACAGTTACTATCGTTTCATCCAAAATCACTTTGACCTCCACACACCCTCTAGACAACCACACCATCGTTTTCAATTCATCAATTCAAAATACACTTCACCGTATTTCCTAAATTTCACATATTGTATTAAAGACACTAACCTCCATGGTATTCTTCGTAATTATGATCCCATAACCCAAATGTACATCTTCTGTCCCATCACCAAGACCTTCAACGCCGAAGAATCCCGACCCTTCCTTATCCCGCACGAGTTTGTACAACCTATAGAAATCCCAATTTTAGAATTCATCCACAACACTAAATTCAATCACAAATTATATAATCTAATCCAAAACACACCTTATGAGTTTGCAGTTGGCACTGAAGAACTAACCACTATTAAGGCACTTCAATTGCTTTGGCCACTGCTTCAGACTAAAAATATCATCCGCATCTTAGCTAAACTACTAACAACTTCAGAACTAATTCACGACATCTTCCCCCACGGTTTTTTCCCCGACGACTAACAGGTAAGTATGAATTAAATGAATATTACTAACTAATTAAAATATTAAACAACTCACCATACTTTATTCATGTTTTCTTTAGATTTTTAGCCTTCATCCGACGATCACCTACAAAAACCACAAAAGACAAATAAAAATCGCAAACTTCATCAAACAGATTTCAAAAATTCTATTAATCTCTTACACTTATAGATTTATAAATTTAATACCAATGCAATAAATTCATTTCTAAAATTTTCCCCACAAGCAGTAAATCTAATTATGATGAAAATTTGTATCTTAAAATTCCCCCATAACTAGCAGTAAATTTCCAAATTCTACGCAGTAAATTAATAAAATGCAATTGCAGTACTAACCTTTTGATATTTTCATTCATTCGCACAGAAATTCTATCCACACTCGCACAGCTCGCCCACGAAGGATTGTTTAAAATAATGAATTTCAGTTTCAAGTTTTCACACTCAACAACTCTAACATATAATAACATGTTTCAAACTTTCCTTTAACCCGGTTGGAAAGGAATCATATACTAAACGAAACTAACCAACGCAGCTTACTAAATACCACAAATCATAGAATAACAGCATGACTAAGAAAAGGAAACCAACGGTACCCAAACCGGATTAACCCAGTTTAAAACTGGATAATTTATTCTTTTGAAGACTATTATAAAGTCTAAGAAAGAAATAATAAAACACAAAAAAGTCGAAAGACAAACCCATACCACGAACAATTTGCTTTTTGAAAAAAAGACACAACCAACGAAACATAAGAAAAACCACAACAAACCCAACATAAAACGTTGTCACATAACAGGACCCCTCACAAAAACCGCATGAAATCATACTCCCACTCCTGGCCTAACCCACCAGGAAGGACGTCCTGAGCATGCTCTATAGCCGGCCTAACCCACCGCGCTACATCCACGCTTTGTGACCACACCTCTATTTTTAATAAGAGCTACTCAAGGGTGAGTAACTCTTCAAAATAACCGAACTAAAACAAAAAGCTTTTGTGAAAACAACTAACTAAAATCATTATTAAAAAATATTAAACTAATAAAAGTTTTATAAAATGTAAAATCACATGATGCAATATATAGATCAGAATACAACACCAAGGACGAACATCAAAAGACAAGACGACCCCACTACACTCGAGAGAGAATGACCAACTACAATCGATATGCCGCTCACAACCACAACTCAAAGGATTTAGAGTACGACTTGACCTCGCAGAAAAGGACTTCATTGAACTAGACCAATGACCACCTCGATGACCCAAGTGTACGTACAGATCCGAGTAACCAGGCATCCCCTCCACGCACAATCTCCACGCCATTCCCAAGCTAGATCAGACACAAAAGAAGTTCTCCCCGAAGAACAGAAAAACCTGACATAGCCAACCATTCTGAAATCAGAATTGATTTTGTTGCAGAGACTCAGTCGTTGTCACAAGAAGAACACAACGTCTTATGTCTCTAACTCCAGCTTCCTGGAACTTCCTAAACAAAAAGGAAACAAAAGAAATATGATGTTCGCCAAATACCAACGTCCATCATCCATCCTTGAATTACAGAAGGACTGTTCTAAAAAACTCTGTAAAACCCGGATGGGTGGAACCTGATCTAAACTATATTTTATGATTGGATAAATTAAATGTTTTACCAATGTAAAGTATTTAATATTAACCAATCACGATCCATCTAACTAACAACCCACTTATTTGTAAGTGCTGAAGTTACTTGTAATTTCAGCACCAGAGAGATTTGAATTTAACTTAGAAATTAGTTGGACTCTCCCGAGCACTTCAGCAGCCGCAATAAACCAGTATACCCTAGATCTATTGAGCCTAGCAGAGACTAGTTAAACAACCTGAGACTAGATAGTATAAGAGTAAGATTAGGATCGGTATTAGACTAAGAAGTTGCACGAATCTATCCGGCCGAAAATAAGATAGCGTGACGAGCAGACGGTGTACCCTATCCGAAATTACTCTATGAGTTATACACACCAGTCCTAACTCAAAAGCATGGTCAAAATAGAGTTTTTATAAACATTTGCTATCCTGTATGTCAATGAAAGTTTAATCAAGTTTTTTAATCCAACTTTTCCTGCAACCAAACTTTATTTTAAAACAAGGACAGCCGGTAACTTTGCAAGTAGCACAGAATGTTCTGACCACAGTCTTAAAAAATGTAAGGAGTTTTTTTTTCAAATTGGTGTCTTTTTTTCTGTTTGTTGTGATTAAAAGATCTGAAGAAAAAAAGAGAAGCTAGGCATAATTTAGAGTCATAGTGGAACAGTTTTTAAAACAGTTTTTAAAGAAAAATGACTAGAAAAAGGAAAAAAATTGAAAAAAAAAATTCAATTTTTTTTTCGATTTTTTTTGCAAAATATTTTTAAAATTTCAAGTTTTTGGTTCTCAAAATTGCGCTAAAAAACACCAAACACTACGCTGCCTTTACTTGAATTAAACAAAGTTTTCACCGCTTAATTAAGCTTAAAGATGCTGCATGGTAACCTTATTAGCTCGAAATTAGACCAAACCCCAATTTCAAAAAACTCAAACCGGTCTTACTCGACACTGCGAAATGTTTTCACATTTAATTTCGTTTGGATCACGACTGAAAGAGCTTTTATATGATATGTCACTCAAATCAGTCCGATGATTATGTGTGGTACATGATTTTGCGTGCAAATTTAAAAAAATTAAAGCACATCCGGATACAAAATTCCTCCCCATTTTCAATGGTCGGAACAAAAATGTCTTTTTCTGAACATTTTCAATGGTCGGAGCAAAAATGTTTTTTTTCTGAGATATATCGGCGCTATTAAGAAACAAAATTTATACAAAAATTTTTAACCCGCATTTCAGTATGTTGTTTTAATTATTGGCACTACAAAAACAAACAAGGGTCAATATCTCACAACGTCAGCAGACATTTTTTGCGAACCATGTGTAGGCGAAAAAAAACCTGTGAAAAGTAAGAATTAACTAAGAAGTAAAACGAAAAAATAAAAATTGATCATTGCTGGAAAAACATGTATATGAGGTTGCAAAATTTCTAAGCAGAAATTTAAGGTCTGATTTTGAAGTGAAGTA